TTTTTAGTTTTAGTTATTAATTTTTAAATTTAAAGTTTAAATTTTAAAATTATAAAAAAGAAGTGTTTTTGAGAAACGAAAAAAATTGGAAAAGAAATTGTTTTAAACAGCGGATGGAGTAATAAAATATCGGGTTCGGATATAAAGATTCGAGTGGGGTTCGTATTATATAATTCCTGGTTCGAGTTCGGATATTTTAGTGTTCGGTAAGGTTGGTTGAGATCGGGTTTGGGTTGAATTGTCATTCCTAGCCACAATCACCACATTGTCACATTGTAAATGTCACACTATCACTGTCACATTGTCATCCGTCACACCAGCCGGCAGAGTGCCGATGTAGATCGCCAACGGGTGACTAATCACATTGACATATTATAATGTCATCACTTTTCTATCACACTGAAAATGCGTATTCTTACATTACAATGTTATTATACTCATATTTTGGTCTTACAAGAAATGAGATTCCTGTTGCCGTACGGATCAAGCACAAAGGCTGAATCCTTACTTATATGCATGGAGATATCTTTAAATATAATACTTCCTCCGTCCCACTATATTTGTTCACTTTCATTTTTGCACGTCATCCAATACATTTCTTTAATCCATTTTATCTTGTAATTTGTATATTAAAAAATTATAGAAATTATATATTAATAATCTATATGTTAAGACAAATCAAACAAGATCACGCATGACTATATTTAGGCTTACACATTGAGAGAATTTGATGAGTCAAAGTGCTTAGATGAACAGTTCCAAAAGTCAAAAGTGGACGAATATAGCGGGACGGAGGGAGTACAATTACTTTTATATTAAAATTTAATACTCCGGAGCATCAAATTTATTTAATTAATGGTTAAATTTTATTCNCTTTAAATATAATACTTCCTCCGTCCCACTATATTTGTTCACTTTCATTTTTGCACGTCATCCAATACATTTCTTTAATCCATTTTATCTTGTAATTTGTATATTAAAAAATTATAGAAATTATATATTAATAATCTATATGTTAAGACAAATCAAACAAGATCACGCATGACTATATTTAGGCTTACACATTGAGAGAATTTGATGAGTCAAAGTGCTTAGATGAACAGTTCCAAAAGTCAAAAGTGGACGAATATAGCGGGACGGAGGGAGTACAATTACTTTTATATTAAAATTTAATACTCCGGAGCATCAAATTTATTTAATTAATGGTTAAATTTTATTCACTGTCAGTTTTGATTGAAAAAATAAAATTAGACAAAAATTCTAGAACCGGTAGGATTTTATTCCGACCCCACCACACTTTTGGATTATATGCTTTCTCCGTTGCATAAAGATGTTCCCAATTTTAACTTTTAAGACATTTAAGAAAATGGTATTTTGTTTTGACTTTCCAAAAATATCCTTGATGTGATGGTTAAAAGTAGGATGTGATAGAGACACTATTGGTAAAAAAATATAATGTGATAAGTAGGTTAAAAATTAGTAAGGATAAAACTAATTTTTTACTCCCTCCATCCACCTAAAATCTTCCCATTACACGTTACGAGGCTTGACCGACTTTATTTTCAATTCAATTTAATTGATTATAGGAGTAAATTTTTAAAATAAAATTTATATAGTAATAAACTACATGAAAAATTTTATAAAACTAGAGGTGACAAGACTATATTATTTTACGAAATGACTAGTAAAAATAAGTAAATAAAGTGAGTAAAGTTTGACCCTGTGAATAGTGTTTGATAAGATCTATGGAGAACAGATGGAGTAATAGACTAATGAAGAATTTTGTGAGACAAGAAAAAAAGAAAAGGGAAGAGGTTTTTGGGATTCTTTTTAAATCATCTTATCAACATTTTAAAATCCTCATGAAATTTAAATGAATAAATGGATCACTGAGTATATTGGACGAAGAGTGTAATTATGAATCTATATACTCCGTATATGTCTATTATCAAAACAATTAATATAAGTATAAAAAATACATCGAAAATTAGGTGCCGACTCTCCTTAATGAACTACCATACGTAGTAGGTCATAAGTGTTTGCCGAAGTGTATTTTTTCTATTTCCATCAACACATAAAACAAAAATCATGCATTATACTCCGTACGGAGTATGATTTTTTTAAGATAAATGATACTATAAAATAGAGTAAATTTATAAAATTGTACTTTTTAACTATGTATTTTTTCTAATTTGTTTCCGATATGAACTAATTACTGAAGTGTTACTTGTTATATGAGAACAATGTTAAGATAAGTCTATCGACTAATGACCCGTTAAAATGACTTTAAAATGAAGGATATTTTGATAATTTTCATCGTCGAATATTGAGTACTTTCTCAATCAAGGTAATTATTTCTAATTGGATTTTTTTTTAAAAATTATTGATCAATTTTTGAAATGTAACTCATTAAATGTAGAATGTATTTTTAAATATTCTAGTTTGGGAATGTAATTAACTAGAACTATAATTTTTTTCAAAACTTTTTCCCCGTAGATTTATATCAAGGTGGTAGGTAAGCGGGCAACAAGCTACGCCACCACCCCTTTCTGGATAGCAAACCCTATTTTTTAAAAAATTATTAAAAAAAATTGTAAATTGAAAGTAAACATTTATTAAATTGTTTTAAGTTATTAGAAATATATCACACCTTAGTATGAATGAAGTAAAATAAAAAGTATTTAATTTGTATTTATTTGCTTCATTCGTTATGTTTCCGATTACGATTTTTAACCGAAATTATTTTCAAATCAGTGTAATTTTAAATTGGTGTAGATTTTTTTAAATAATACAATCACAATAAAGTTTGATTAAAAAACAAATGATGACATTACTATTTTATAAAATGAAGATAACATTTTGAGACGAAGCAAGTATATTGTTAAGTAATGGTAAATTTATTTAAATATAAAGTTATATTTTATTGTTGCTAAAATTTTATTTCTGAAACTAAATCTCACTTCAATCGTATAATCTTAATATCTCAAATGCAATGATGAAGCTCGAATCCCTGAGAATCTCACTTCATAAAACTCGATCTCTTGAAAACTAATCGAATAACCAAAAATCCAAAAAGAAATTCAGTTGGAACCCAAACCCGAAACTTATGTTTTTGATTACTTTGTTTTTCGATCATCGTTTTCATGTTCCATTCGGTTAAAATTCTTATCCCTAAACTAAACATCCCAACTAGTCCACTTCCACACTAATTACTTGTAACAATTATTTAGTAATTTTTAACTTTTAATTTTTTGAATTAATTCTGTAAAAAGTTACACAATTATTTTGAATAATTCTGTACAAAGTATTACGCGTGAAAGGCTATTAATGTAAAAATGATTACAAAATTCTACTCGGACAAAAAATCAAAAGTAGTAATGTAAATGCGAGCTATACCCAAATAGAAAATGAAAATGGCATTTAAAAGTAATGATTAAAGACTTTTTGAAAGTAATAATGATTTTAAAACATTTTCTTTAAAAAGAAAAAATACTAAGAATAATTTACCTTGGATTTATCCGATCAACTTAATTATTAGTCGGTGAAATTTTTAAGCTAAATTTTCATTGACCCTTTATTCTAGAATTTGTAGAATATGAACATGTTTTGACTTTCGACCAATTGTCTACTAAAATCTAAGGTTTATGTTACTCACTTTCATTCCGTACAATTTATTTTCTCTATTTATTATTTATTCTTATTAAAATTAAAACAAATAAGATCAGATTCAATCAGATCAGATCAGACAACTAAAAATATTCTAACTTTCGACCAATTGTCTGCTAGAATGTACGGTTTATAATAGACTCACTCACATATGGCTCGTAGGTGGCATTCGAGTCACATAATTTTCCTAAACCTCTACATCTGTCGATCCAAACCCACCCTCCACCCTTGTCAATTGGACCTAACAATTTTAGTTGACTTTGAATTTTAAATTTTGACTCAAAAGTCGATCAACTAAACTTTGGAGGTCCAATTGACGAGGGTGGATATGTGTCCGGATCAGGTCGGAGTGTAGGGGCTTACCGAGAGTTAAGAGACGTAGGAACTATCAACTTTACAAATAGAACATTGAGGGTATGTATCGCAATGGCTCTTTAACCTATCCATTGATAAAATTGGTAATTCCTACTCTACTAACTAGGGTTGGATTGAAAAAATCGAAAATTACATATCGAAACGAAACGATCGAAACGAGCTAGAAAAAAACTAAACTGAAAAAAATAAAAACCAAATATAAAAACCGAATCAAACAGTTATTCTTAGGTTTCCATTTCATTTATCACTCCGAAAAACCAAACCGGGCCAAATAAACCAACATTTCTTATGTTTTTTCGTTTTATGCATATGAGTATATGTGAATCAGAAAAAAATTATATAAATATAAATGCAAATAACTGCTTAGTCAATTAAAGTTTTTCTACCGTAACTACTAAACACTTTTTTAATTATATAAACTAAGAATATAAATATCAAAAATTAATCTTAATACATAGTTATATTAACATTTCAAAGTTTGGGATTACTAATAGAGTACTTGTAATAAAGGGTAGAGGTAAAGTGCAAATTCTCAAACTTAATTTAGAAAAAGAGGGTGACTATGTGATGCCCAAAGTTGAGTTTTAACCTTATTAAACAAAAAAACGTCACAAAAAAGTCCATTCCACGTGTCACTCCTTACCTTTTTGTCTACCGCCCACCCCCACCACCACACGGCGGCACAGCCTGCCCTCTGACTCTATCCACCACCACCCCCTCCTCCTCCTCCATACACACACACACACACACACGGCTATATATCTCCCTCTGTGAATATCCTAACCTACAGCTAAC